AAATACGATTGGAGCATCTTTTAACCGGCCATAATAAGACACAAAAAATTAAACGATCAAATCTATTTTTCCAAGGCTCGTTGATTAAAAATTCACACTCTAGATTGAAATTTAAAATACGATGTTTTTAAAGCGAAAATGTTAAAAGTAAAAATATACCGAGGGTGCCAATTAAAAATACAAAAGTTGCAGTCATTTCCGGTGACCAAAAACAATTGGATACCTCAATCAATCCTAATTTATGTCATATACCTACTAACATACCAAATCTTGTTTTTTTATCTGAAAAAATAAAAAAGTTATAGGGATGAGCCACTTTTGAGACGCACGTGGTATAAAGATACATTTTGTCTTTTAAATTTATAAAAATATGTAGAACTTTTTAAATATCATTTGAGATTATTATTATTTCTGAAACATTTTGTAGGTACCATAATTAACAAAATTATTGCTATTCCTATTTTACTTTCTTAAAACTGTAAGTTTAATAATTAAGTCCAAACTTATTTCTGGATATTATAATTTTCTTAGCCTGTTTATTAGATAATAACCAATTTGTATGCATATTAGATTAAGAGCAATAAAGAAAAAAAAAGAATATGAAAAACTACTAATCACACACTATATTTGGATTAACGGTAACACTTGATAAGGCGATTAATTGGCACAGTTATTGGCCGCAACGGCTATACTTTTAATAGAGACACCGTAAAATGTTGCTTAAAAAAAAGTGTCTAAGATGTGAGAAATATGTGGGAAACTGAAAAGGTAAAAGAAGGTACGTAGACAAATAAATCTTTATCAACGATGAAGAAATTATTTTATCAAAACGTTAGTGATAAATGTTATTATGGTATTATACTAGGACTCAGGGAAGATTTCGACAGACAATGACAGAAAATAGGCAGATGGTGTCCATACCAATCCATTTATTTCACTAAAAAAGTTTCTAATATTTTTCTCTTGTTATTTTTAACAAATCTTTTGTTTTAAAAATGACAGATCATATTTCAATTTGACTGGAATAACGGGGCAGATAACGACGCACGTATGCAGATGCGTATTATAACGTCACCGTTGGGTGAAAAAGTTTATAATGGGAACTCAGGTTCACCAGGTTCCGTTACAAATAGGTTCCAGCTATCTCAGTAAATAATTAAGTAAAATATATGCACAGAACAAGAGATATCAAAAGGGAGGTGTATGGAAAAAGTGTATTGATTGAAAAGTCCAAAATGTACTGGATTCGTTTAATAAATACCAAATTCAGAGTTCAAACAAATTGTCAAAATATATCATAAGATGTATCAAATAGTTAAATAAGAATTAATGAAATATATATACTAGTAGAATATTCTTGTAAAAGTGAACTATCCATAAAATAAATTAAACCATGAATAATATCACAAAATATTGTTGTGACTAAACCGTGAACAACCCTGATGCGTATTTGTGATTATGATTAAATGACTGTAAAGAATAAAATGAAATTTAGATGTAAAAAAAATCCCCTAGTTCACATACGATCATATATTAAAAGTGATAAATTTTAACCAATCATAAACGCAATAAAATAAGAGATGATCAAAATCTTATCTGTCATCCAGTGGTCGGTCCAGTCAGTCCATGAGAAAATCCAGATTGCTGGTCTTTAGTGTTACAGTGGCATTCCTCGTCATAGTGGCATTCACGTCACAATGGCATTAGTTGCAGTACCAAATCCAGTACAAAAAAATTGGTAAAAATCTTAAGCTAAACAGTAATCATCACTAAGGAGTAATAGCCAAGGAACAAGAAAGAACCCTAAAATATGACCTATTTTAGTGACACGTTCTGGTTGGGACACAGTAAAATACCTTTCCACCATGCGGACCTTCCAAGATAAGATGGCGTCTCAACGCATGTTACTCCATGGAAAAGGGTTCCTTAACTGTCCTCGTACCCATCCCAGTACGTCCACACACCCATCTACAGCTCCTTTCCTCTAAAATAAATAGTTGTAGAAGAGAACCTTACACCTAAGAATGTCTCTTACCCAACCAACAAAGATATCCCTTTCCAAGGTTTTCCCCCGGAATTCCAACTACACAGGCCAAGCTCAATTTCTTGCCAGTCGACCCTCAATGAATTCAAAGACCGTAATTCTACTGAACAATCCCAATATGGAACGGCGACAAGCCAAAATTTCACTAGAATTTCTTTCTTTTATTTTCGGCAGAGATCAGAAGGCTTCCCCTGCTTTCACCAAGATGGTTCAAAGTCGAAAAAGGACGCGTGTTTGCAAAATCCGCAAAAGACGCTGGACTCCAAGATACCAACCCAAAATCCAACACTGGCAACCAGTAAAACAAAAGACCCAAAATAAAATTTGACATACAATTTTATTTAATGCATACGAATTGGGTGAAACATTTTATTACATCATAATAAACATATTATAATCCATATACGAACATAATATTATAAAATTATTAATACATTTTCCGATCATATATAAAAAAACGATTAAAAAGATCGAAAACCTAATTTACAAAGATCGATCTGTCAACCTTCAACGCCGGTGTCACACGATCAGCTGACAAACAACTGAAACGTCAGTCTGTAAATCGTAATATAAACAAGATGAAATTTAGAGAAAAATCAACTATAATCAGGTAAAACCAATTGATTACACACGGGAAAAATACATAATAAAATCCTTAACCCATATGTATATTGCAGACCCAACATTCCCACTTGTTGCGTTGAAAATAGACCAAAGATAATCACATCAAGTCTATGTTCAAGAATCCTCCGAAGAAATATGACAAGAATTATCGTAACACAAGCATAAGTCTAAATAAAGAATGAGTAACCACTGTAGAAAGAAAGGTAGGTTTTAAACAGACAAATTGATATTTTATTAATGAGGTTTTATATTACAGTTATCGGAGACAACTCCATCCAAAGAAATGGCACAAAAGGTTGTGATGATGAGACTTATAGATAAGATATTATTAGAAATTATATGTACAGTTAAGAAGTAAGCCAATTAAACGTTATTATTCAAGTTATTCAAGTAAGTTTTAGTTTTATTCCTAAAAATAAACAAAATAAGTAAAATAAGTTACGGTGAAGAATTATATGTATTGAGTTTTTTTTTCACATTTTGTTCCCGTTTACTTACTACTAAGGGCTTAATTGTTTTCTGTGGGCTTGGGTTGAATTATTATGTATTATGTATTTTTTGATTGCCGGTGTTAAAAAAATTTAAGATGTCGTGTTATTAATGATTTAAATTTTGATAATTTAACAATTTTAAAAAAATGTCAATGTTTAAAAGTGTTTAAATATTTTATTGGGGCTAAACTAGATCAATTTTTATTGCTTTCAGCTTCCTTTTTGCAATTATGATTAAAATGGTATTATATACTTTTTTGTATTATCCTTATTTTTATTTATTTTATTTATTTTTGTCATATTGTTGAATTGCAAATAAAGTTATTATTATTATTATTAAAGATATTTTCGAATTGCTTTTGCAGTTTGGTTTGTGTTAATAGGTGTGTTTTTGTGTTTTTATAGTTAAGTGGAGGGGAAAAAATCGAGGGTAGGTGAGGGAAAAGTAGGTAGTGTACCAACCAAGAAAGTTGTATTAGCCACCAATAAAGTTTGTATACCATCTCGTATATGGTACTAAAAACTGGAGTAGCTGTTAATAGTAAAACTAATTAGTGTTAATAATAAAACTAGAAAGTAGCTGTTAAAGACGATAGGTAAATAATAATAGCTTTTAGTACTGAAGGTCAATACTAATAAGGTCAAAAGGTACTATTATATAAAAATAAGATTAGAGTTAATTAAACCAACTTTTAAGGTATATAATTCAGAAAGTGTTTTTAAATTATTGAAATTATAATTAATAAAATATTTTATTTTACTTATGTTATGTTTTATTCGAGGTTTTATTTATTCCAGTGCAATATAAAAAATTTGTTTTATTTGTTTTCCCACTAAGAAAAGCTCTCCACTGTATCTCGGAAAGTATTAGCCGTAGGGCCTACGGAAAAAAAATATTTATAACGAAAGAGGCTATTAAAAACTGCTGGAAATTACTTTCAAGTTTGTAGAACGGTAGTTAGGGGGCGCAACTGCGATGACAATAAGAAAATGAAATTTTTCCATTGCCTAGATAAGAGGTACCATAGCTTCATTTTATGTTAGAACCATTTTCCCCTATCTGCTAAAAAAAAGTAGTGGGAGAAGGTTAGGTCTGTTTTTATTTAAATGTTAATAACTCCGCGCGAACTGGATGATCAGAATCCAACAGACGAGGCTTAGTTAAAAGAGTGTTCCATACTCTATATTAATATAAAATAATAATAGTGGCGCTGTCATACAATTTAACAAACATTGCGCGTTTTTTTTCAATTAAATGCGATAGTACCCGTATGATCGAGAAAAAACGGCGTCAAAGGCGGCTTAGGAATGACTATCGATGCTATTTTTGACGAGATAGAACTCTAGACGTCACTTACTGAGAATTGACATAAAATTTGTCAAAAATTAATACCTTATATAGAAAAACCATAAAAGAATAGAAAGTTTCCAGATACACATATCTATTTCCAAAAAATTGTTTTTTCAAATGTTTCGATCTGCACCAGTTCTACTCAATAAAAAATCGATATTAAATCATCCTTAATGCAGTAAACGCCTTTTTCAAAATAAAGAAGAGTAAGGCCAGTAAGACTCTAACCTAACTAAATCTCGTCCGACAAGCCTCCGACCCTCCGACCCCTCCAACCGAGACATTTCGACAAAATTTTTGATTATTGCGCTGTTAAAATGTACGGATTAGCCTTTTATTATTGTTTCATACACACTAGACCGTTCAGATTTACTAATATTGCATTGATTGTAGCTGTAAATAAAAATGTGTGTTTAATACCAGTAAATAATCCGTTAGTTGATGAAAGAAGTATCGTGTTTATCGACAAAATTAATTGTAGGCTTTTAAATTTTGCTTAATATGGTCATATTTTACAATATTCAACTCATAATTGTTGATACTTCTGGTGGATGATGTTCAATTTATACATATATAAATTATAAACAAACCAAATTGAAGTACTAGAAACAATAAGGTGGAGATAGTAATTTTTACGAAATCCCTGTATTATTACTTCTTTACTTATAGAGTATCTGTTCCTGTGTATGCCCAAGTTTCTGTTTTCCAAGAAGCATATTAATTAAATGAACAAAACTGTGTCCAAGAAATAATCTATTGCATAGAGGATTTAATGAAAACAAAATTGGTGATGCTGTAATCACAAAGTTCCATGCAGGAATCAATGGTTATTGCTAAAATATGTTATTGGTGTATTGTCAATTTTATTTACTTATATATTACGTTATTTAATCTCAATAATTTTAGGCTGGTAAGTCATTTATTTACATACCTAACTTTTAACGTAACTACTGGTAGATTGTAGGAAATAATATACACTTTGGAACAATTGAAGTAAATAAATGAATTAATATAATACATACATCAAGAAGTAATGTATAATTTTGGAAAAAGCTGTATTGATCACTTTCGAAAATCATAATTGTTTTTTTTTTAGTAAGTCGCAGAACAAATAATTTAGGTTTGTTATTAAATTAAATGTAATAAGTACAGATTTAGACTCTTGAACCAGGCATAGTATATTGATTAATAGGGTCCACAGTAAAAAATATTTTGTAATACCATTCGAAAGAAAATACAGACCTATATTTTACTGTTTATAAAGTGAGTTTCATTGTAACATAACTTAAGAAAACAATTAATATGCATATGTCAATCATAAGAATAGAATCTATTAATTGAATGAACTATACCCATAGTACTGGGCAAACAGTAAACCAAACCAAAGACCAAACCAAAGAAACTAAGACTTACAGTGTTAGATCATGTAGTATATAAGTATTTTAATTTTATCATTTAATAAATAAATACAATATAAAATTTAAAATGCCAATTTCTTTTATTTTAAAACAAGTGATTTATATATGTATAAACAATTTACAATTCTTTATCATTTAATTTATTGCTCACATCTTCCGGGATTATAAGGCTAATATTTTGCTGCTTATAGTGCCTATATCTCAAAAAAAATAATTAAATTAATTAATGATTAAGTATCCCTGTATTTTTAAATGTTGAATCTTATGGACTGAAAAAACTGCTGATGATATTTCTACTTTCACTGACTGAAGATGCAGAAACCTAGAAGAAATTCAAAAACAAATTGTACAAACATAACGTATGACTATACATTTCGGTAAGTCAATATCGACAAAGCTTTGATTACAGCATCACCTATTGGGTTTTCTTTAAATCCTCTATACAATAGACTATTTCTTTGACATAGTTTTGTTCATTTAATTTGTTTCTTAGAGGTTATACACAGGGGTAGATATTCTATAAGTAAAAAAGTAATGTATAAGTAATAATACAGATTCTTAAAAATATCTCACCTTACCGTTTCTAGTACTTCAATTTAGTGTGTTTATATTTTATACATGTATAAAATTGAACATCATCCACCAGAAGTATCAACAATTATAAGTTGAATATTAAAAAATATACCTACAATTAACTTTGTTGATAAACACGATACTTCTTCCATGAACTAACGGGTTATTACTAGTAATTGAACACACATATTGGTTTGCAGCTACAATATTAGTAAATCTGAAGAATGTAGATTAATCCAATTTTTGTTAACTCTAGACGTTATCGAAATGCCTGGGACTGGGACGGGCGATAGTTAGGTTAGAGCCTTTTTGATTTTTCTCTTCTTTACTTTTAAAGAACGCATTCTGTATTAATTACGATTTACTGGATTTACCTAATATAGATTTTTTAATAATTAAAACTGGTATAGTTCAAATTATCAGAAAAAAATATTTTTTGGATATATCCGGAAACTTACTATTCTGTATCCGGAAACTTACTATTATCTTCTAGATTTTCTACATTTAGTATTAATTTTAATTAAAATTTAATTTTTTTGAAGATCTTTAAAGTGAAAAGAAGAAGAATTTTAACTAAAAAAATCAAAATAAAGTTAATTAACTTTGAGCAGAGTTCAACCTCGTCAAAAATAGCATCGATAGTCGTTTCCCAGCCGCCTTTGACGCCGTTTTTTCTCGATCATACGGTATATGTAATTTTAGCTGATAGTAAAGAGTAATAAAAGCTTAAAAAGTCAACGAAAACCGAATCTTGATATCATTTTTCAAACCGAAGTTATTAGCAAAATTATAATAAATACGAAAAAATAAGACCTTAATTACCTTTTTTTTATAACACAGTATCAGTAGCTCTCTTGATTATGCCCATTCTAATAACAAAATAAGATAGAAACGATTAGTTTATTTTAAAATACCAGAATACCATAATACCAGATGGTATTAATATCTAATAATTAAAATGTTAATAATAGTGAAGAAGAGAAAATATGAGTCACAGTAGGAGAAAAGTTGCTTTTTAAGTAATAGTATAAACGCCAAAGTGTTATTAGATCAACATTTTGATAGTCTTAGCAGCCTTTTTTATCTCTTGATTGCTTTTTTCGAAACGCCTGTATTACTACTGGAAGAAGCAGTTGATGGCAACTGTTGCAAGACTTTAGTAGTAGTTTTTCACTTAGTAGTCTTATACAGGTACGGACGAAAAGTTATAACTTTTCAAACCATCAGTTAAATAATATGTAGGTGGCGCCCTCTACCACTAGGAGTCATATTAACATCAAAATCAAATTTCTCATGTCAAAAATCTCCCAGACACCAATTTTCATCCAAATATGGACGTTACTTTAGAAATTATTTGGAAAAAATCGAAATAAAAATGAAACTTCTACACCCTGTATCTCCGAAAGTAAGCATTTTAGGGCATAGATTTGTACGAAATTTTTTACTTATCTTTATCTGTAGAATATGCTGCCGAAGTTTCCGGAATACAGTTCGGATCACCCTGTATATATACCATTTTTGTGAAAGCCTACACAATTTTTTCAAGACAGTTACAAAACATAGAAATAAAATTTCTCATGTCAAAAAACACCCCGATGTCAATTTTTATCCAAATATCGACTATAATTCATAAATTATTTGGAAAAAAACGAAACAAAAATGAAACTTCTACCACAGATTAGGTATCCTATAAGTATACAGATAAAAATCTTGTCCCTAATTCGTGGTACAAAAATTGTTTTTTATGACGATGTGCAAACGAGTCAAATTTCCTGTGCGCAAAAATAAACTCCCGTAAAATAACAATAAACAGCGTAATAGAGAGATATCGCTAAACCGAATAGCGTGCATGGACGTTAATAAGGTCAGGTGTTATTTCCTTTACGTGAGGTGGTATTAACTCTCTTCAATTATAGTTATCGGCGTTATCGGACCGGGAAGAATTCTGATCGCAGCGCGTCCGCTATTTAAACTTAACCTAACTTTGAAATTGTTTTGTTTACTAGGTATTTTAAAACTAAAGGGCTGCTTATTTCCAGTGCTTTATTGTTCAACGTCTGCCTGGGTTTAGGGCAACAAGCAACAAATTCTCTTAGAAGGGCTAAATCGTCATCTGCTGTAAACCTAAGACTCTTTATAGGTTCCTTAGTATTGGAAGAGGTGGAATCCATATTTTGGGCCATACTTATATAATTAAAACTAATCCCAGCTACTTAAATAGCAAATTACCTAATAAAACTAAAGAAATAATTCAAAACAATTCAAACATAACCTAAAATAAAAGATCTCGCCGGCCGGCTCCGGCTGTCAAATACCCGCACATGCCCATTTAAGCAATTTTTAAACGTTATTTAGAAATAGCGCTTGGTGTAATTGATCCGCAAATTACGTCAGGCGGTAACGTTATTAGCGGGTGTTGCGTTAAAAATTGACTCACGCATATCGTAACCATGATAAGGTACGCGTAAATACTGGATGACGCTATTCGGTTTTCCGATATCTCTCTAATAACTGTGCCGGTCAGGCGCTGTGCACAATTTTAGAGGCCATAAGTGGGCGGGCTATGTGCGCAAACTAGTCACCTAACTAGTGCCCAATTCCGAAAATTGGAACCAGGAAAAACAATAAAGAAAAAACAAAGATTATAATCTGTATAATCTGTGCTTCTACAGCCTGTATCTACGAAACGAAGCATTTTGGCACATACGTATACTTATACCAATATTTTTACTTACTTTTACCTATAGAATATGCTGCCGAAGTTTCCCGAATACAATTCGGACCACTCTGTATATTATACGACGATGTAGTTTAAAAACCAGTTCAAGAAAGACGGAAAAACTACAATTTTAGTGTGAAAATATTTTTGAGTCAACCTGTATGTTTGCACGAAAATTCCCTACTATAGTACTAAAACGTTCTATCCCCTTTAAAAAGAAGGAACTGTATTTTAATCTTGAAATTTCTTGAATCTTAATAGAAAATATCCATAGTAAAATTGTATTAAAATATCTTTTCGATTGGTAACAAACAAACTGCATATTATAAAACATCGTATTTTTGAAGATCGATTTCATAAAGTAATAAAAACGACAATAAAATAACTTTGTTATAATATTAAAATAATCTATCCCCTTTAAAACCGTGTAAAAATAAGTTTTATCTTGAAATCTACTAAATCCCTATAGAAATATTACTGAAAAACAAATATTATATTTAAACATGTTTGACTCACCCTAGCAAACTCCTTAACAGGTAAAACACTTAAAACACGTAAAGTTCAGTACACTATTTCAATAATTAAACACGGCACTAAACACTATTTTTAATTTCTTTAGTAAATTTCTAAACTAGGTTGTTGATTGACAACGCAAATAAACAGAAGACTGGCGCGCTTGTTGACAGCTGGACATGCGTAAATGCCGGTCATGGCCTACCTTTTTGAAAAATTTAGATTTATCTCCATGCTTCGGAACATCTTGACGTGATTTTAATAAAAAAAAAAGGTATTTATGTAATACGAATATGCATATTAAGAGTACGTTTGATTATCAAGGGCGATATTGAAAAATGGGATATTGAAAACAGAGAAATTGTGTATTTTGATTTAATTTATAAATACAGATCTCCTAAAACTTTATGTATTATAGTTTTTTTAACTTTTTGGCTATCTCGAATTTTAGTATTTTTTTAATATACGCAGGTAACTTGCACTTTTCGAAAAAAAAGTTTATTAAAATATTTTTAGGTAATCTCACTTCATTTAGAATATTATTTATTGCTATAAGTTAACGAAAAAATATAAGTATGTGAGAGTTTGTTTTTTTTTATATTTTATTTAAATAAGTGGATTATTTGAATACAGGGTGGCCCCTCTCACACAAAGTTTGTATTGAAGTGAAGTTTTCTGAATATATGTAGGTTAATTTAGAGCATTTTTGAAAAATATATAGAGTGCTACAGTGTGGCCTCAAAAACAGGTACACCCAGATATTTGGACTGCTTTATATACTGGGTGTGTCAATATTCCGTGGACATAGAACTACTGTGTAAAATATAAGTATGTGAGAGTTGCAATTTTTTATTTCTTCGGTAT